CAAAGAAATAGCAAAAACAGGTAAAGCATTATCAGATGAGGATTTCTGAAAGATTGTTAGGGCATATTATGGCTGTTTCATGACTTAATTAAAAAGCAGTAGAAAAGAAAACAAATATTTCTTACTAAGCAGTACTCAAAAAATACCCTCATATGCGGTCAGGTCGTAAATTTAGAACCCCTTTTTTCATGAGGGGGCTGAAAAGGAGGGGATAATTTTGCTCGTGCTCTTGAGAAAATGTGGGGGTTGTTTAAACATCTAACTTCTCTACTGTCAGTTTTATACAGAGGAAAATACAAATTGAATTCTTTGAATGAATGCAATTTTGTACAATGAAAATGCATTACTTAACGATAAACTGTAAGATAAATAACATCTTTTTTTAAAGCCATAGGTGTAGAAAGACAGATATTTGTTACACGAATGAATTTGTAGTAAATATTGAGTTTTTCATTTCGAATGCTATTTGCATGTATGCGAAGTAGCTGAGTATGTGAGAAATAGTCATAACTGAATGGCCTTTCAACCTTTTGCACGGCTAAAGGACTTTTTTTCAAATTACATTGTGGTTGGCTGCTTTTTGGTTAATTTTCTAATGACATATAAACAATTAAATTGTTTTTAATTTGAGACTTGTGAATAAAATAACACAAACTAGACTGCAGAAAATTCTTCAGAATAAAATAACACGAACTGAAAAATAGTTAGTTAATACTGAAAAAGTTAATACTGAATTAATATTGAAGTTAATACTGAAAAATACATTATTGATGCACTTTTGTGTTTTATATGTAGTAGTATTAACTACTACTATAATCCTTAAATTATATATATCTATGTATAAGTTATATAAATGGAACCAGATATAGAACAAGGTATAAAATATCTTATTATACAATGTTCATTACCATACGTATATTTATGTAATATCAATATAATAGTTAGTTAGGTTTCGTACATATATAATTTATTTTTATATTTGTATTAGATTCAGTATTATATACGTATCTAACGTTTAATTTGTTCTCTTTTTGGGTTACGATTAAGTGAGAAAGAATTGTTAAGGCCTTCATAGGGATATTACATTATATACAATCAAGTTAAAATTCGACTTTTCCTTTCTTTTAATAATCATACATATTGGTAATACTATTTTGATAAGTATACATAAAATATAGGCAGTTTGTTAAGCTACATGTTTATATATCTATTGTTTGGTCTGATTTGTTTGATTATAGCAAAGCATTCGATGGCTATTTGCGTAAGAGTAAGGATGCCTCGTGGAGAACTTTCTAAGCAAAAACTGACTCGTATGCGCGTTACACATGGGGAAAAACCACGAAAAGCGCCAATACAGCCTTCCGGTTCACCGGGATTTGAACCCCAGATTCACCTACCAAGAGTTCAACGACTTTACCGCTCAGCCACTAGTGAGCCACACAGACATCCACATATATACATTAAATCAGTATTTACATGTCGGTTTATAAAGTATAATTGAGTGTGATTTAATCATAAAGAGTTAAAGAGTTAGAATATTCTACGGAATTACTTCGCTTCATAGACTTTTTGTTAAGCTTCACCATATTTCTTAAAGAGAATCTCAATGCTAGTTCCATTTCCAAGCTGTTTATGTACCTTATTTTTCATGCCTTGACTTATATTTAGAAAATTATTTCACTTGGTTATTATGAAAATGCAGTTTTTTTATTGAAGAATTTAAGGGTAAGAAGAGAATTATGCCCTTTTGTAATTATTCTTTAAGCATTTAAATTTTTTTTAAAAGCGCACATTAATACGGATCACTGAACTAAGTGCTCGATACAGGACAGATTAATTAGCTACTAAATTTTGATTTCGTGAGTAAAATGAATTCATCTACATTCTATAAGAAAGTAAATATTTAAAAAATGTTTTTTTTTTCCCTATTCTCACAGTCATAATATTTTTCTTAAATATTCAGCTAATTCATATTCAAATATTCCAATCCATTACAATAAGTAATAAATCAATACAGTAAATAAATTGCCTTTTGCATACGTTAGAAATACTTATTCTCGTAATAACAGATACGTATGTGTTATTCTCTTTGTAATTTTCAGTATATATATTTATATTTATAATTAAGAAATCTTTTGAAAGCAGCGTCAAACAGCTGTCAAAATTATATTTGAAAATTATTATTTAGAGATGCGCTTATAATGGTTTTTATATTTACGAAAGATACTTCCCGTTTACTCAGGCTCACTGTATTCAAGTCGATAGGACCAATTGAATGGAAAGATCGATTTGTTAATTCATTTTCAAGTTTCAAACCGGATGAATGGACTCGCGAATAAAGTAGCACATTAAAATACGGTCACTGAACTACAGTGAGCAATGAAAATTTTAACAAAGGTTTTGTACTTTATCTTATGAAAACAAAATATCAGAATCTAAGTAAATGTTTCACTTATTAGAAAAATAGAAAATATAAATATTTGTGAATGAAAAGAAATTATCTTAAAAAAATTAAATGAAAAAAAATAAAAGAATTACCAAATATTGCAGAAATTACATAAAATAGCGAATAAACTTATTCCGCACAAGCTTGCTAAATGTAAAACAGATTGTACAGTCAGAAAGCTCGCCTTGTCACAGAAATATACTGTTCATCAGGTTTAAAGGTTATTCAGACTAACGTGCAAAGTTCAGTGAGTAACTTGTATTTTCCTTTGAATGTATAAACTAGCCAAAAAAATTGAGCACTTGACAATTAGATGCAAATTTAACAGATGAATTGAAGGAACCCTACTGCAATGTGCCACTTTTTGTAAGCATTTTTGTGGATTTCCTTAAGGTATGTAAATATGAGCCCATTTTCCTTAGAAAATTCTCCATGAAATCATGCCTAGCCAAACCTCATATGTTTTGCCATATTCAACACAAATCATTCTTAAGATGATTAATTAATTATTTTATGTTAGATGATACGAAGCTTTTCAAAAACTAGGATGCTTTCCGTAAACAATTAGTATTAATAAGCGCTGTTCAACTGGAATTGGGTTGGATTATTTGTTTATAGCAGTGCTTTTCAGCCAACTTACATGTACCTGTATGTATTGCTCAGAGGGGGTGGAAGGAAATTCCTGAACGAAAACAATGTAATGTTAATAAACAAATAAATATAACTTTTCGTATCTTATGTAATTTGTCTCCATTCTGATACCATGTGCATCATTTATTTCTGATATACTGATACATGAGACCTAAAAACACTTTTTTTTAAATATATCTCCCCTTATGATCCCTGACACAGCCGTTTACTTTCCCTTTCCATAATTAACGTCAGTCTCCTGCTCTTGATTGCATTTGCCAAGCCACCGTACTCAACACAGGAAAGTAGATTGATTTAGCAAACAAAGTTATCTATGTAAAGGGCAAAATCCTGCCAATTTTATTTTTTAGCATCATTTTTGCATTATAAAAATTGCTTTTTTTTTTTTTTAAGTATCGCATCGTCATATTTAGGTCTGTGTAATAAAGATTGAATGAATACCATCTTACAGAATTCTGCTTATTCTTACATTAAGTATGCAACCAGATATTTACTGCTTGTGTAAACTTTGAAGTCTTTGGACATTAGGTCTAAAGGTTGTTTTTGGCAGAGTAATTTTATATTACCTTATTATTAGTGTATAACTTTGTGATGTTTGAATTTTACTGTCTATTTTAATGCTTTTAATTTTAGTATGTTTATTATACAAAATAAGGTTATATATATATATATATATATTATGTAATAAATTCAGGTGCAGGAATTTTGATAGCGTAGACGTGTTGATCCATCATAACTAGGAAATTGGAGGCGAAGGCAGATTAAATCTTCAGTTTTATTTTCAGCAACATCTTATGGTTACATACAAATTGGCACATTAAATGTGCCTGTTCCAAAGGGGTTACCTTATAATTTTGTAGCAAGAAATTAGAGCAGACAGACAGCAGTGTAGCTAGGCCAAAGCAAGGAAAGCAAGTGCGTAATGTTCAGAATAAAATCGTAAGTCAAACTGAGTTAGTTTTGTTTCCCAAAGCATTCTGATTGGACAGTTAATATTGCTCTAAAATAGCTATTGGTTGATTGAGTTTTAGTTCCATTTACATCACCAGAATTACCTACGAGTCATATGACATAGAATAGTCTCGAAATGACGCAGTGCAGAGAGGGGTTACTAATTTTGGAATAGAGAAGGGAAATTTAAATTTAAGCTGCTCATTTAATCTTTTACATATTCTTTATTTTTCTTACACACACACACACATATATATAAATCATTACTTTGTTTATAATATTTTTACTTGTATTATAATAATTATTTTTCTCTGTATATGATATTTTTGCTTGTATTATATTTTTTAAAGAATGCACTGCAGTTTTTGGTTCAAACGTTCCGTACACAAATTTTAAGTGACAATTCAGATGATTGTAACTAGATTAGATTAGACAATCCTATTCTAGATAAAAATTATCACCAATTGCTATTTTATTGCCAGTATGTTCTAATTTTTGCAAGAATCCCATTGAAACCCATCCAATATATAACAGTTGCATCACCCACAAGATCTTGATTAATTGATATATCTGAAATAAATTATGATTTGGACCATTCAAAGATCTTAACAGTAATTTTGATATATTTGCAGACAGAGGTAAATGCATTAATTACAAAAATTCTCATTAGTATATATTGGTAATTTTAATGAATTGGTAACTTCGGGATCACTGAGCTTTATTTTCCATTTGGAATAAAAATCTGATATTAAAGGCAAGTTTAAAAATGTGCAAAGTGCCTAAAGTGAAGTTATGCGCCACCTTTAATATTTTTTAAATGTTTCACAAATTTGTAAAAATCTTAATGAAGGCTTAATTATGTGAAAAATTCAAATTTATTCTGCTGATTATTTATTTTGTCCATATGAATAACACAATGTGAAATATAAATTTTTTTCTTCCCATTTTCTAGAGATTGCAAGCAAAACCTCAATTTACTGTAGAAGTCAAGAAGGGTAACAAGACTTTGTCATTTACGTGCAGTTATTCAGAAGTTGATCCTAATGCAGAAAGTGAAGCTTACAGTAAGAATGTTAATAATATTAATTTTTAACATTTCTACATTTTCCATTTACTGTTTGGTTCTTAAGTATTATTGATATGAATTGCAGTTGCATCCTTAAAACAATACATTCATAATTAACATATGCATATTCAGCTGTTTATGATTTTAAAGTATCGCTTGGGAATCTCCATTGACAAGAATGGCAACCAGAAATATGAGCTGTTGTGCTTGAAAAGTTTTTGACTGCCTCTCTTTTTTGATATCAGACTTAGCAAAGATGGTCATACATTGACATACCTGAACCAGTAGTTGGACAGTGATAGCCTGTTGAATTTAATCATAGTTTAAGCACTTAATACATTTTGCCATAGAATAAGAAATACATCTCCAGGAAACTATGGTAGAAGTGTAACTGTTGAGTTGAAACTTGAGAAGAGTGGTAATGAAATACTTGGCATGTCACAGCAAGCATCTAGTGATGAATTTAATCCTGTTTCAATTCTTGAGTAGTAGAAGTAGTTCAAAGATAGTATCACAAAAATAATTTATAGGCTGCAAAATCTGTCAGGCCATCCATTGTAATTAAACATGTCAACGTTGCCAACCCATGGACAGGCAATGAATGATGATTTATATGCAGATTTCCTGAAAACCTACTTCTGTTAAACCATTAAAAGGGAAGGTGGAAAATGTAGGAATGAATTTGCTGAAGAAATGATAGTTTATGCTCTAGGCATTTGATAGTGCATTATCAAATGCTTGGGATCATGTTATACTGGAAAATGCCTTCCAAAGAGTTCAGAGTTAGCATTTGTTGTTTCTCAGCATTCTCAACCCTGGAAACATAAACACATAAACTGAGGAACAGCCTCGAAAGTATAAAACTTTATTTGCAGTGGAAGGGGATTAGGAACTCTTTTAGTTACTGCCATAAATTTTGTTTTACACTCATTAATAAGAAGTCCAATGTCTCTGGCTACAGACTTTAGAGAAATGAGTTTTCACACGCCTGTTTACTTCTGCCAATAATGTCAATGTCATCAGCATATGCTAGTAATTGTATAGATCTCTGAAATATGATGCCTCTGGTTATAATTCCTTCCTTAACCCGGCGGAAGGCGCATCAAGAAAAGTTACTAAAGTGGGCACGTGGGGTATCACATACCCCAATATTTAAAATATGGTAAAAGTAATTTTATTAAATTTTAAAGCTTTATTTTCTTTTATAACACATGAATAATACTTGGGTTACAAGAAATGAATTGCGAAAATAAGCTTATAGAGAGTTAAAATTAAGATAAATGAAAATAATAATAAAATAAAAATCATTTCCTTGGTCTTATTGCATCTCTAATACACAATTCTTATTTGATCTGTTTGCACTTTGAATAAAATTTATTCATGTGTTCTTGGCACAGAAAGTTCTCATTTTAAACATAGCATTTGCATTTTGTCCTTGGCTTGAGCCCCCCCTTCCCAAAATCACATCTTTTATACTTAGTTGTTTTGAATTTCATATATTCATTTGAATTATTCGTCGAAACTTCTGCTCTTTTGCATGCAGTACGTAAGTTTCTCGATAAAGTATTAATCTCTTATCGTTGTTCAGTACCTTTTTTTTATTAAATGTAATGCTATGTCTCTCAAAAACAGATGTCTGCTTTAGTATCTGGTTGGTGGATTAGCCGTTGAAAGTATTATAATTCAAAAATTATTTGCAGCAACATTTAGTGCAGAAAATAAAATTAGCATTGGCCACCTCCTTTTTATTCTGGCAATTGAAAAACTTGTTGCTATTTCATCCACAGTGTCCACTGCTCCCTTAGTCATATTTGTAACAGACCTATTTAAGTGTAATTGAACTATTTTATTCACGCCATGAACTCATGAATTGTAACCGAACTATTTTATTTAAACGCCATCTCGTGGCGATATGAAAAAAAAACGTCAGTCGACACAGACCTATTTAAGTGTAATTGAACTATTTTATTCACGCCATGAACTCATGAATTGTAACCGAACTATTTTATTTAAACGCCATCTCGTGGCGATATGAAAAAAAAACGTCGTCGCACGACCTATTTAAGTGTAATTGAGCTATTTTATTCACGCCTTGAACTCATGAACTGTAACTGAACTATTTTATTTAAACGCCATCTCGTGGTGATATGAAAAAACGTCAGTCGAACTCCAGCCGCCATGATGAAGATTACTATGTTATGTTATTCTCAATGTTTGATGCTCCATTTCGTTTATTTCATTTTTATATATATTTCTTTTGTTGTAACCGTTCCTGTGTGCTCTGTTAATAAATCCTTTTAAAGCTAGCCGGCATTAGTGTCTATTGAGGAACGGCTACATCACATATTCTAAAAACATATAATTTCTGGCTTTTCCTTTTTCTCCAATAGTATCATCTATAGCATTATCGTTATGTAATGTTGAAAGTTTAGAGCAGTTTTCCTTTTTGTTACATAAGATTGTTTTTTTTTTTTTTTTTTTTTTTTTTTTTCCGAACCCAAAACAGTGTAGAAAATATTCCTATCTTCATTTTCAGTTTCCGAAATGCAATCTTCATCACTTTCACTATTTCTAATAATTCACACAGCCATTCTGCTTCTCCATTTGCCTATGAGATCAGAATCTTAAAAAAATAAATTTCAAACATTTTGAAATTGTTTACGAGTGGAAATATTTACTGTTTCACTCTAGAAATAAATTTCTCAAATAAATATTCAGTCACAAAAGCACTTACGCGGACAGGCGCGTGGGGTGTGTTATACCCCAGTTGCAACAAAATACCGATAAATCTTTTTCTGAAACACACAGGCAATGAATGGAAAAGCGGTTCTGAAAGTCAACCACTGCTAGAAACTCAGCTACTAAATTGCAGCACAAAATTTCAGTTTCACAAGTTAGCAATATTCCACTTTTTTGTAGAGGTGGTATGATACACCGCACGCACTTTCCCGTGGGTTAATATTTGAAACTTGTCCACTCAACCGACTCAAATGAAATTTTAGATATTATTTGTATGTTTATGTATTTGAAAGTATGCACTCAAGATTGTGATGATTCAAAACAACAGAGCTTTCAGAAATAATTCTGTAATAATACAGTAAAATAATAAAGTAAACAGTAAATTACAGTAAAATAAGTTTGAAATTTTCAAGTGGCAACACCCACTTTTTTCTTTCAAAAATTGATCAGCATGTTGAAAATCCATAAATAGTGTAAGAACAATACATGCATGATGAAGATTTCTAGCATAAATCATTTGAGAAGAAAAACATTGTAAAGAACCAATGACAGCACAAAAGAAAAAAGAACAAAACTTCGATTGGAGTTGCAAGTTTTCAGTGTGCTACTTTTGCAGACAATAATGTTACTCTTATCAGAGAAAACCCCCTTTTTTGTATGTTTACAAGCTGTATATAGTTAACAGTGTATTAATTATAGTATCAGCATTCAATAAGGTCCCTTTGTATTTCAGTATACTTATGGGCTAATACACTAGGCAGATATATAGATACTGCAAAAATTGCATTATTTCTAAAGTGTATGGATCCAGTCATGTGCTTCTGACCAAACCTCATCATTATCTAAGAACTTTGTTCTACTCAGAAGTGCATTCAGCCTTCATTTGTTGCAGATTTCTTCATCATCAGGTTTGCACCGATGGAGGAGTTTTTTTATAAGCATCAGCAAGTCTTTTTCCCATTTTAGCTGTCAAATGCTTGTGTGCCTATCTTGCACACATTTGAGAGAACTTCAGATTGTGATGAATGATGGGATAACACCTTTCTAATTAAGAATTTGGTTTTCCCATATCAAGTTCTGCATATCTGTAAAAATGTCTTCTGCGTTGTTAGACCCAGACAAGAAGAAGCTTTCATATTAGCAATATTGATTTTTATCTTCTCAGCCCATTCATACACTTATATCCAACCTTATACACCTGTCATCATACTGTATTCTCATCCAATAATAAACCTATATAATTTTTACTTCTATGCTAAATAAAAATCTCACAACATTCATTACAGTTGCTTGGAACAGCCAATACCACACTGTCAAACAGTTTTTTCATGTTTCGATAGATGCCTCAGCCATGGCAATATGCTATCTATCCATTAGTAGTTCAAGATCACTTTCTGGCATACCTCAAAAGACAACAGTATTGGTCAGGGTTGCCACGCTACCTGGAAAACCAAAAAAAGTCAAGGAATTTGGAAATTGGCTAAAGAAAGTCAGGGAAAAATCAGGGCATTTAACTATTTTGTCAAAATCTGGAAGAGCCAGGGAATTTCATACGACATTCCCGCCAAAAAGTGATTTTTACACCAATGTTGGAAGTGATTACTTTTCTTCACAAATTATGTATTGCATGAGCATCATTCAGGCAGCTGATATAGAGCCAGTTTTTGCAGCTGCTAACAGATTGTCTTTTTTACAAAGCCAAAGCAAGTTTTCAACAACTCTGGTTTCCAGTAACATCGAGAGATTCGCATGGGTATGTGCAGTGCATGTTGAGGAAAAGAAAATGCCTTTCCATTCTCATATAAAACAAAGTCAGGTCAATTCCAGTATACAGTACACACAGAATTTGGCAACTTTATTATGAGTAGTAAACCGTACATTTATGATGAGGGGTAAACAGGTCATTTTGGTGTTGGCGACAATTTTCATAATCATGTCAAGAATGTACCATACACTAGAATTTTCCCACAAAATCCTTTAACCTTTTTTTATCTTTTTAACAAATGTCTTATTTGTCATTTTGTAGTAAAATAAAAAAAATAGTAAGCAGTCACCTAGGCTAACCATTTAATATAACTAACTATATTCACCAAGATATGGTTGTTTATTGTAATTCAATTTTTAAGTAATTAACTTTATTTTGATGTCATTCATATCATTTAATCTTGCTTCTTCCCTCTAAATGCATTTATTATGAGTCCTTTCAAATTTTAGGCAATTTCCTCTGGCTTACTCCTGCAACTAATTCTAGCAGTATGA